CTCATGTAAACTCGCTCCTCTTTCCTTTTTGCGCTCCTCATCATATCAAGCATACAAAATTAGCAAAACACACCAAACTAATAAACTTTATCAACAAAAGTAATTTTGGGCATGCGGGTTTATATTAATGGAGTCCAAGTAGAGCCATGAAAGGAAATTTAATATGGTATGTTCTATATGTCTTGGTCACCTGCGGGAGGGTCTTCAACAAGTGAGGCAAACATATTATTTCTGATGGTATGGATTCAAGATACTATTTTATTATTGAGATTTGAAAAGGTGTTGAGATTACGAAAATGCCAATTAAGTTACTAAGTGATATTTGATTTTACATTTTTACTCATGTGACATTTGATTTAGAGAGTGGTTCTACACCCTCAGCTCGGTGCACCCACGCAAGAAAACATAGCAAAACATTTCAAAAAATTCCGAAACTTTGTGGAAATGATCATCAACAAATGTTATGGACGCTTGCAAAGTTTGATGGTCAAATAACATTCGAGGAGCTCTGTACAAAAAAGACAAAATCACTGAAAATTAGTCAAAATGTAAGTGCACAGTTTGAGCAGATTTTGTAATTTTGTCTTTTTTGTACAGAGCTCGCCGAATGTTATTTGATCACCAAACTTTGCAAGCACCCATAACAATTGTTGATGATCATTTCCACGAAGTTTTAGAATATTTTAAATGTTTTGTTATGTTTTCTTGCGTGGGTGCCTCGTGGGTGCACCGAAGGTGGGTGCAGCCACTAGTTTTCCTTTTACATTTTTACCCATGTAACATCAAAAAATATGGCCACAAGTTAAGTGTGCCTATCTAGCAAAAGGAAACTTGTTGATTATGATTAAGTTGTTAGTGACTTAAGAAGCACAATATAGATGTTTGGCAACCGTGTACACAACATAACGTCGCTGCTACAATACAAAGACTAGGATTGAAAAAATACCTGGTGAATAGAAACCTGTCAAAGGATGGTAATCATTGATATAAATTGTTTTGTGAAGTCTCTTGGATTGCATTGATTTAAGTTGAACCATGTAGACACTGGTGTCCACGTATATAAAAATAGCATATGTATCCTCGGAATATCCCAGTATGGTTTCGAACCCTCTCCACCCTGCCTGAATCTGAGGAGGGAGCCCAAGAATGTTGTTCATTTCAATGGTCTTCCACATCACCCATGTGGCAACACCAGGAATATTCATAATCCCCTGCCACATTTGTAAGCGTGGGTAAGATAAAACGGAAAAACCAACAGCACCATCTTTGGCCTCGGCCTGGATGATCTGACAACAGAGGGGACGATCTGTAACCGGTGGCCCATTGATAACAGCTAGAGTCTGCTCTTCCAAATCAAACTTAAGCATGTCATTCCTGCAACTCATCGTAGTAACCAACCAGTAGAATGGCGGCCTGGATGATCTGACAACAGAGGGGACGATCTGTAACCGGTGGCCCATTGATAACAGCTAGAGTCTGCTCTTCCAAATCAAACTTAAGCATGTCATTCCTGCAACTCATCGTAGTAACCAACCAGTAGAGTGCACCGCCAACAAGTGACCCGGGTCTATGAGCAGTGAAAATCAAATATGGAATGTCTGTTGAGATGAGTTTGCCCCATGAACCAGTCTCCGAGGAGTAAACACATGCGAGAGGTCGATGATCGTCTTGTTGGTTCATGATCACCAAGACCACCTTGAAGGGACTGGAGTGACAACCACCGGTGCACGTGACCTTGGTTGCTGGCAGCGCAAAGCACAGCCCCACTGATGTGGTAGACGAATGTTTTGAAATCGGACGGAATGGCCATGTGACGCTGCTCGCCCGTGACTGGGGTGTACACGATGAGTTCCTTGCACACATGTTCAATGGTGAGGACACGACCTTGGCGGCAGCACAGCACTTCGTTCCTGTGGGGAGGACCGCTGGGTGTGCCGTATTCGTGGCGGCAGCTGTAGCGTTGGAGGTCGAAGCGCTCACGAGGGATGTGGTCCGGGGTGTCGAGGACAGAGGTGAAGACCATGCTGTCGCGGAACTCAAAGACGCCGAGGAGGGGCGGCTTCCCGTGGTGCGCGTAGAAGTTGCGGAGGAACATGAGGTCGGTAGCGAAGGGCCGCCACCGCTTGCAGAACGCAGATGCGCGCGGGAGGGAGGACAGCTGCTGCGGGAGGCGGAGGAGGATCTGCCAAAGGAGATCGTCGCCGTCCGGCACGGAGCAGCAGGTCATGTCGGCGCCCTTGCTTTCGCTCATGGCTGCGCGGCGTATGAGGGAACTGGGATCGAAGACGCCGAGGGCAAAGGCAAGGTTGGATTCGTTGGCGCGATCGATCCTTTGTATAGCTGTGCCGTAGGATGATTGATCCGACTGGCCGAGCAAACAAACGTGGGCTTCCGGTAGACTCGTGTGAAATGCTCCTATAGATAGAAAGAGTTGTTTTTAGTGCTAGAACTTACATCATACATTGAACTGGTGCAACAACTTGGCTCGGGCGTGCAAATACGGTGCAAACCACGTTTGTTACGAAAACAATGCTAACTTGGCGCGCCAACGTGGCATGGGGCCCGATGTCAGCGCAAGGAAGGCAAAGAGGCCTGTTTTTGGCGAGACCCCCTTGAATTTTTTATGTTATAAAAGAGAGCCTTGTCTACGTGTCAGAATGCATTTTATTTTTTCCGGCCCTATGACACATGGGTCTCAGCTGTCAGTATTGGAAAATTAAAAGGGAAAACTAGTGCATCCTCGAGTTGAACGCGCGACCTCTGCAAAAATTCTATCTGAGTTAACCGCTCCAACAATCGCACTACTGCAAAATATTGATAACAGACACTCATGTAGCATAAGCCGGACGCACGTGAGGCTTAAATCGGTTCCAAATAGTGCTGCCCATTTTGCATGCACTAGGTTTTTTAAAGATATTTGCAAAACGTATGTAACAAAAATAATGTTAAAATATTCATGTGTAATAAATATTATAATGTTTTGTGGGGATATAATTAGTATACATAAAGACAATGATTAGTAAATAATCATTTAAATATACCCCCATGTATTTTTTTTCATAAATACGGACATTTAAAATATTTATACACTCGCAGCTTATATTCAAATTATACAAAATGATGAAACATACATTTACTAAATATTCACTTGTGTATAATTTTAACTCATGACTTATATTCAAAAACGTTATATAATTTATATATTAGTCATGACTGAATATTCATATAAACACTTTAAAATTTAAATTAGAAACATTTTTATTATAAAATGTTGAACTATACAAATGTGCGTACATTTATTGAAATGTTTGTAATTATAGAAATATTTTTATTTGTATGGATATAATTGTATTATACAAACATTTTATTTTAAATATTAAATTAGTAATATTCATATTGTATTTTTTTAAATTATACAAGCATTTTCATAATTCATAAATATTATTTCAAATATATGAATCTATTTTTAAATAATACGTGATTCTTTAAAAATTAAGTTATTTTATTTGTACGTATATAATATTTATACAATATGAATATTTTAATGTTATTTTTGTTATTGAGATTAGAATTTACATACATCTTACAAATTTCTAAAAGATACGAGCAGGTGCAAATGGGCGGCATTGACCGCAGGCTATTTCAGCTAAGAACGCCTTCATTACTTACTAAAAAATAAAAATATTTCACAAAAAAAGAGCTCCTTCGCTCACAAAAAAAGACGCGTAGTTATCCATTTAAGAAGAGTGTGTTACAGATGGAGTTGCTAGGACCGACTATGTCCCAGTAGCCTGTCGCTGGTTCGAGGCGCAGAGTACTATTTTTTTGTTAATTTTTCAGAAAAATTGAGATGCTACCTCACCAATAATGACAGGGGATTTTTTTGTGATAAATAAAAAAATCGAGGTGGTTTTCGCAAACAAACTGGCCACACGCCCCTTCTCTACCGTCTAGTCGCTGACAGTGGCCCCCACGCCATGCTGGAATGCCTAGTCAGCGATCCGAGCGTACACAATCAAGATTTGCACCGTATTTGCATGCTCGACCCAAGTTATTGCACCAGTTCAATGTATGCCGCAAGTTCTAGCACCAAAGTGATCGTTTGCGTCAACTTCTAGCATCACCAGTGTAATTGACTCCCGGAGAATCATATGCGCGCTCCCTGTGCACTACCGATGTGCTCCCTACTTAAATTCAAGGCACATTCTTAAGAAGATGGAGTGTTATTTTTTCTGCCAATCAAGATGCTAGTCGGCGTAGGTCCCCCGGCCGGGGAAAACCAACACACCGTCTTGGCGTCTTGTAATGTAAAACAAACTAGTTGGAACCACCCCGGTTCATCAGCCTGATCTGATGTGATTTGTCATAGGTCCCACGTCCCAAGAAATCGGTAACCTCAGCGCCGCTTTCCCTCCTCGAGTCTCGGTCGTGCGCCGTTCCCTGGTTACTGAATCAATCATGTGGTTTGGTCCAATAAAACGATCTTCACATTAATTAGTCCATTCATATTTAGAAGGTTCATAAAAAAATGTACATGCCCTTGCTATCTATAAGAGTAGGCTGTTTGTCAAAACATATTACGAGCACAATTGAGAAATTAACACTCAGGCTCTTCAGTTTTGACAAATGAAAAAAATGGCGCGTTATCGCAAAGTAGCACCACTCTTAAAATATGCTATTAACGTGCTATATCATTATATTGCGTTATAGTGTAGTATTAATGAGACATTATACATTGATTTATTTAGCGAAAAATTGCTCAGAGCACTATAGTATGCTATTAGAAGCACTATTTTTTCCAGCGGTTTTGACACAGCGAGCTACAACATGGCCAACGGTTGCCCGGGAGACGCGATACTTTCGTCATACGATAAAACTTCTTTTAATCCCATGATGATGTTGTTGTCGAGGAAGTTCTCCATGTTGTCGGTCACGAGATCGTATGAAAACACCTGGAAGCTTGGTTCTTGCGATGACGTGAGGTGTGGTTTTGCGAAGATGATCCGGCCTCCATTTTTGGTGATGACGAACTGGCTTGCAAACTTGGTGACCTTGGGTGGCAGTGTGCCTAGGTCTACTCGACAATGCAGATCCCATGCACTCGTTTCGTGCCCACGGAACAGCCAAACATCGTGTACATGCCCTGCTGAGTTGTTGTTTGGCACGAAATTGGAGCAGAAACGGCACAAGCGTCCATCAAAGTCTGCCAAACAATGATTTTGATTGCTCTTCTCTAGGGCCAGCGGTGGTAACGGCACGGCCCCAAGCCTCTCGTCATCCATGGCAAAGGAGAAGGCGAACGTCTCTAGACCTAGCGTGGTCTTACGAACGGCCAACCAGTGCACATGGCCTTGCACAAACACACTCGCCTGGTCCTTGTACACGCGACCCAATGGCTTCTCCCTAGCACAACCCTCCGTCGGCCTCCATAGCCCTAAGGCCACGGGGTTGATCACGTAGACCTCGCATCCGGTAGAGTATTTTTCGCCGCCATAGCCTCTGTAGTAGATGCGCATGACCTTGATGGAGCACTCGTCAAACTTGATGGAGCACTGCCTGGTTAGCTCCTCGATCTATTTCTCGTACTTTGAGGTCAGTTTAGCTATCCTTTTCTGCAATTTGGGTACATTGATCATGTATCAGGATTACATAGATGAGATAGGATGGTAAAACAGTTTGTGAGAAAAACTGACCTGAATAGGTGAAGAAATCTCAACATCAGTTAAGCATTTTTTGCATAAGCCACTCCCACGTGTACCTAACTTTGCCGCTGCATGTTCAACGCAAAGATTATTTATCGCTGGGAATGCAAGCTCGTGAATGAGCACATACTGATTAGGGGAAGGAAATCACTCTCACCCTTGGGCTCTTCTTCCTGCAGCTTCTCCTCATTGAGTTCGGTCGAATCCGTCTCTTCCTGGTCCAAATCAAACATCGCCTTCGATCTGGCAGTCTTCCTAGTCGATCTCTCTGTGGTGGACACCTCGACCTCCATGACCTTCTCGGTCTTCCTGATCGACCTCTCGCTCCTCCGCAGAGTGCCCGCCGCCGGAGTCGGGGGGAGTGCGACGCCGGGGGTCCTCGATCTGTTTCTCGTACTTTGCGATCAGTGAAGGAAGGGGACGGGAGAGATGGAGATGGAGATGGAGGCGGCGGCGGCCATGGACTTCAACGCCCTCTCGCGCCGCGAGCTCCAGGCCCTATGCAAGCTCAACGGCGTCCGCGCCAACACGACCAGCGCCGCCATGGTCGAGGCCCTCCAGTCCCTCGCCTCGGTAACACGCCCTCCTCCTTGATTTCCCCTTCTGATTCATGGTTTTTTTAGATGTGGCGTGTTTCGTTGCGGCATTCGTTAGGGTGAGGATTCCGGTGGATGGATTTGGGC